GTTAGACTTTGTAGTGTGCTGTGAGTAGTTTGTGACTCTAGAGCCTGTATGGCTGACAGCAAATCTGTGAGAAAAACCATCTTGCCTGCTGGGGTTTGCAGCTTGTCCATATGCTGTGCTGCTATCATGTAGGGCTGAGAGCTCTGCCTTTGTAGTTAGAGCAAATTTGTCCAGAGGGTGCTGCCAAGGACACAGTAGTGGCATCTGCGTGTTTTATGTGTACACCTGCTCCACCATTCGTCTTTGTCTCTTTAGCTGATCCATGTGTGTATATTATCGTCCAGCTGCCCTGGGTGAACATATTGTTGAGGTGTTCAATTGCGATTGCTTTCTTTATTAAATTTGGCTCAGCATCTTTTTTCCCCCTAAGTTCAGGATGGAAACTGAAACATTGACAGTCAACAGTTCAGAGTCCCAAAGATAGTTAAAATAGCTTTTCCGGGGCACATTTTAGGTTTAGTAGTGAAGAGTGTGACTTTTTGACTCTTTATTAAGATTTTTTTTTTTTTTTTTTGAAAAACTGTTATTGATCAATTCTGTATGTGTATTAGGTGGTTTAGCCGTGTGCGCTTTATTCGATTCTTTGTCCTGGTTGCCAGTTTTTCGTGAAGTGGGTGGTTTGACATCCTCTCATTTTTTTTTTTTTCAGCATGTAGAATTATTTTCGTCCTTCTTCTTTCTTCTAAGGGGTAGAGGTTGGCTGCCTTTTCCATTTCTATACTATAGGTGTAGATTTTATGGCTTGCCGAATTGTAGTTTGTACGTATACGTCGATTTTGCATTTTGTCTAGTACCTATTTATTGGAATAGGCTGCTGCTATCCGTGACGATGATGCATATTCGAGAGTTGGTCTGACTGTGCCGGTGTATACCTGCTTCAAGATTTGACTGTCCGCTCCCTAAGCGGTGCCTGCCAATTTCTTCATCACACCTTGTTTTCTCAAAGCCCTTCTGTTAGTTTCCAGTATGCGACGTTTTCACGTCAGACGACTGTCCTACTTGACCCCAAAGAAAGTTGGAGTATTGCAGCATCATTGTTGAATTTTAATGTGGATTTTTGTTGTGTGTGTGTGTGTGGACAATGAGAAAGAGTTGCGACAGTTTTGTTGTTGTTTACTTCGAGGCTCTATCTGTTGGCCCAGTTTATGACAATGTTCAGACTTTCTTGGAGTTTTGCGTGAAGAGAATGGAATACATGTCTGGGTAGAGCTAGTGGTAAGTCATTGATATAGATCAGGAACAGGACTGGAGACAGTATATTACCCTCTGGTACTCCTGCTTTCAGCTTGAAGCTGAGACAATGTACGCCATCCAGTTTCACGAATGCTAGTCTATGGGATATGAAGTCTTGTATCCAGTAGTACATTCTGCTTCTTATTCCAGTGTGTGAGAGCTTTGGCAACAAACCGTCCTTCCATACTTTGTCAAAGGCCTTGGACATATAAAAAAAAGTCTGAGGGATTTCTTTTTCCTGGAAGCCATTTTCTATGTCCTGTGTGAGGTATGTTACCTCGTCATCAGTGCTTCTATGTTGTCGGTAGCCTGATTGAGCTGGATCCAGTTTGTGACTGGTTTCTAGGAATCACAGACGTCTGGTGGCCAGCACTCTCTCCATCAGTTTTGAAGGACAACTTTGCAAACTTACAGACCTGAAGCTCTGAGGATCAACTAGTGACCAACGTGGTGGTGTGAATTGTAGATTAAGAAAATGGCGCGATGCTTATTGTCGCAATATTGGTGGTGCCATCGTGTACATTTCTAATGTCGGACTGTTTGTGTTAGCACTTCGGATGGCTACAGTATGCTTTTAATGCGTGTGTATGCTAGTGCATATGTTGAGACAGCAGTCTGTCAATCTTTCCACAAGGGATTGTGATAAATATTCTGTGGATTTTCGTTGGCACAGGAGCGGAACAACTATGGGGTGACCCGTTTGTTATGAAGCTGAAACTAAATTACCAGATTATCTGAGGGCTCTTCTTGTACTTGCCACTTTAGAGGTTAGAGTGGATTATAGCATTTTTCCAGTTAACTAGGACTCTCCCTAGTTTCGAGCTATTGTATATCAAGAGTAAGATGTTTTGTGCCACTGAACCCATATGCTTGAGCATGTTGTTTGAGACTTTGTCTAGGCCAGGTGCTTTCTTTGGCTCACAAGATGCTTTTTTGAATGTGTGGTTTATCCTATTTCGGACAGCTTTAATTTTGCTATAGGGTTAATGAATATGAGCTTTCTTTCTCAAAGTATCGGGCGATCAGAGTCACTGCTTCTTCCCTCTGAGCAGATTTCCTTCTTGTTGGAGAACTGTTTTCCCATGAGATGGCTTGTCATCTTTCAGTGCTTTTGTTAGTCTCCACAATTTTTTGGTAACTTTTTTTCATGTTTAGAGAAGCAGTCTTTTCTTTTCAGGATTTTCTACAATGTAGGTCCCTTTCTCTGACTTAAAGGGCCTTTGCTTTGCTGTGTTGCTTTACATGTTCGTCTGTTGGATGAGCTTACATGCTTTATCTGGCAACACAGAGCGAACTGCAAAAAAAAAACTTAAAGTTCTGGTGATAAATATGGCTTATAATTGTGTCTCCTTCCACTAGGGACTGCTTTCTTTGGATTTGGTTTAGCAATGTCCTATAAAGGACTCTTCAAAGTCATTAATGGATTCTATACAGATTTGTAATGCTCTTCCATTAAAAAAGTAAATGGCATTTTTCTGTATAGGTTAAGCAGAGTTTGCCAAACACAGCCTTGTATAATATCTCTGTATAGTTGTTGAGTAATTTCTACCTCAACTCACCAGCATAGTTTGTTGCCATATAGGATGTCCAGAATGCCATTAACAACTAATACTTCCAAGTCAAGGCACATAAACAGGAGGAAGAGGAGTGCTTCTTGAGTTTCTACTGTTTTTACAGCAACACTCTTGTTACCTGCAGATAAATGTCTTCAAAAGTCGTTTCATTCTCTTTTTTTTTTCTATATTTCTGATCTGAAGTTGCCAGTGTCTTCAATTTTGCATGCAAGTAGAGAATTTAACTCTTATGACTGTCATTGTTTTTTTTTTTCTTTGTCTTTTAAAAAAAAATAATGATTAACAGATTTTGAAATTCTATCAATCATGTTTGCAAGTTTTTTTTTAAGCATAGTCACATTTTAAACTCACTTTTGGTCCTATTTAAGTTTTCTGCCCCAGAAAGAGAGTAACTTTCCTTGCCATTCATGAGTCGCAGGGCTTTGTCCTATGTTGTAGGGGTGTCATGCTTTGTCACAAGCTAGCAATATGTCCCAAAACATGCAGAACTGGTCCTAACCCCAACCTTTCTATGTCCCATGAGAGAATGCAGCCTACATCCCAAGACTGCATGCAACCTTTAATATACACTGCACACAGTCGTGAGATCTAGGTTGCATGCAGTTGTAGGGCGTAGGCTACACTCACTCATGGGGTGTAGGCTGCACTCTCTCGTAGGACGTAGGGGAAGTTCTGCATTTTTGGGATCGTTCACAGCGCTCACATTCTGGACTATACAACCTGCGATATTACTGGCTGGTTACAACAGATAGCAAAATGATACATGCTGGTAGCCGGTCACTAAGAGTGTCTTTTGTTTGTTTGTGTATATCTCTTATATTGCATGCAATTCTGTAGATTATATTTGCTTGAATTTACTTTCTATCAAGTGTTTTTTTTTTCTTGGCAGCATATAGTGCAAGAACATTGATACAGAGTAATGTTTACGGGTATTCATTTTAATTAATTTAAAGAAGGCAATTTTTAAAAATTACTCAATTTAAAATCAAAATGTATCATCATTGAATCATTTTTATCATCAACTCCAATCATAAGTCATGGTGTATCATAACAGAAGCATGATCATTCAAGAGCCTCCTCTGTTCTCGGTCTTAAATGATATGGAGTATCAGGAATATCATAAACCCTGTTTAATTTGCTTGTACATGACTTTCTGCACCTTTGTTGAAAATCTGTGTTGTAACTTCATGAAGTTTGGTGCTATAAGTTGTTTGTAGTCAAAACGCACTACACTCCAAGCCATTGTCAGCAGCTCACAGTGATACACAGGTAATATTACCAGATCAAACATTGCAAATACATAGTGATCATAACATATAAAAATGTATAAAATCGATTAAATATTAATATGAAAATAAACAATGAAAAAATAAATGGTATGTATAGCTAGAGAACATTAAAAAATCAGCATAAAGATACAAAAATCAGTTTGAAACAAGTTCAAAACTTAAATACTTGAGGAGTAGCTTCACATAAAATGGTTGAAAAGACAGAGAGGTTGAACCCAGTTTTGAAACACCTGGATATCCCAGTAGAGACACGAAGACAAAATGATAAATGCAGTCTTTATACCAACTCTGAGATATCAGTGTCAGACTTGGACACTGACTCAAGAACATGAACAAACTGACCACCTGCGAAATAAGATGTTTGAGAAAGGTCGTGAACAAAACTAGAAGAGATCATGTTAAAAATGAAGGACTCACAAGAACGTTTGGAACAAGACATATAATTAAATTCCTTGAAGCAACAAAGACAGAAATTGTTTTACCATTTAACGATAATTAAAACAATGATGCCAGCCTCCAAAGTGTACAACAAGAGAGTAGAAACATCAAGAGGTAGGGCGCAACCAAGAAGATGAATTGGAGTCACTGACACCTTACAATTCCACAAAATCACAATATAAAGGGCTGTCTAGCATGCCTAGCTCAGATGCCCATCATCTGTTAACCTGCGATGCCTAAAGGTACAAAGCAGAATATGGACAAAAGAGGAATTAACTATGTCTAATTCTGTTATCTGCAGATTTTTAGTTCATATTATTGATTTAATGATAGGTTACATTTATGTTTCTTCTAAAGGCACCTTAGCTCATTGAAGCTTTATTTATGCAGGTAGTTATTCTGTATATTTATGCTTGTTTCTGTAGATAACAAATTTCAGGAAAATGTTGGTTGACTTGAGCTGAGCTTATTTGTCCTTTGAAGAGCCAAATGCTTTCAAGCCTCCAAACAGAGAAACAAAATCAGATCGCAACCTAGAGTATAAAAAAAAAAAATAAGAATATATTAAAAATTAGATTTCTTCAAATCAAGTTGTTTAATTAATCCACTTTAAAAAAAAAATAAGCATAGTCTGTGAAGTGTGGGGAGACATTCATTAGGACATATTGTGAAAGACTAATCATTTCCTTCATCCTCTTCACCCTTTTTCCTAGTGCAAAATTGTGTATTGCGCCAATTAAACAAGATCAGTTGTTAGGCTTTTTATTTTACTTCTGTTTGCCTGAATAATGAAATCTAGGTTTGGAATAGGTCACTAACACTCCCCCATTTTCAGGCCCAAGTTTGAAGGAGAAAAAGGCGAAGGTTGGGCACAAGGATTACCCCCACACCACTTCCCTCCAGCCTTGTAACAATCTCCTGCTACAGAAACAGAAGCCAGTCCGGTAAGTTAAATAGAATGGAGAATACACTGTGAGCTCTATGTGGGGTATAAATGGCAAAAGAGGATGATGACCAATGAAGAGTTGACATGTTTGCATTGCTGACACTGTTTCACCAGTGATCGAGTCCGCGCACCCTAGGGGGAAGTACTATCACTCTTTCAAGTCTGTTTTGCTGGGTGGCACTGTAATTCCTTCTTCACCATGCACTATCTTGTCAGTAGCATAAACAGTTATGATTCTGACTTGTGCCTGTGCCTTCCAAGAGCCGGCTATTTTCAGCTGTTGTCCCTTGCTATCTCCCAAGGTCTCATTTATAAAATGTTGTCTGTCCGTTACGACTTTCAAGTTGCATTTTCGTCTGTAATACCCTGTATCTCTGATATACAGATGTTAATGCAATTGGCATGTCTCGTGTACACCCAAAAATGACTTGCATGGTTGCATTTTATATTGTATTCTAACTTCTTTATTTGGGTATGAGATAATGTTAGCAGTTCAAAACCATACTCCATCACTGAAATAATCAGTTGCTGGTAGAGAGTAGACTACATTTTCTGTTCCATGTCTGCTGACACCTGCACCTTCAAACACTGAGTCCTTTCCTTACCTTCAAACATTGAGTCCTTTCCCTACCTTCAAACATTGAGTCCTTTCACTACCTTCAAACATTGAGTCCTATCCCTATTTTCAAAACTACCTCCTCCACATGGTATTTGAAAGATACACTTCTGTCAAAAGTAACTTCTAAATATTTTTGTGAATTATCTCCCTTTAAGTTACTCTTGTTCACTATGATATCCTGCAACACATCTTTAACAATTCTATTATTTTAAGAACACTACAGTACTGCCCCCTTATCTGGGTTGATGATCAAGCCTATTTCCTCACACCACTCACCGACCTTATCTACCCACGAACTGCAGCTCTCTAGATATTTCTATTCTATTTCTCCCCTGTTGTAGACTCAGACATCGTCAGCAAAAGCCCAGATTCTTCCTATACCCACTGTCTCTACTGCCGCTATCCTGCTTGTGCATGCATTGAAAAGCACTGGTGAAATGGTGGAACCCTGTGGGAGGCCAAGTGCAATACTACATGGTTCAGAGCACCATGAGCCTAGCCAAAAGGCAGTCTGCCATTCATACAGGACTGCAGCACTCCAACAGACAATACAGGGACTGACACCCCCCCCCCCCCCCCATCCATAATTGTGCAGTAAAACATCATATCTAACCCTGCTGTTTGCATCGTCTAAATCCAGTGCCCTGCTACTGTTTTCTGTTTATGTTGAAACTCCTCATATACATCATAAGCCAGAATCACAGCATTTTCCCATGCTTTCTTGGTCAATAACTTCCAAACCGTCTCGGTTAGAGCCTATGTTTTTTCAAGGTAATCCTAAAATTTGCCTGCCACTATCTTTTTAAAGAATCTTACAAAATATATCCTGTAACGTAATAATTCTATAATCATTCACTTTGGTATAATCTTTATTCGGCTTTGGGAGTAGTATGAGGTTAATATACAGCCAGTCAATTGGAAGTGATGATGTTGCAATACAGCTGTTAAGACATGACGCCATTTCCTCAAGTTCCTCATAACTTAAACCTCTCATATGACTATACCTAACTATAGGTATCTGGTCTGGGTGCACTAACTTTTGTTTTCTTCAACATATGCTTTATATTGTTTAACTGCAGGATGTTCTCATGTCTTATCTCTGATTTTTCTAGTAAGATCACTAACAGCAGAACTTTTGATGGTTCGATGGTTCTTACCTGTTTGCTCCAAAACTCTCTTCCAAAAAGCCTCCACCTTCTCACTGTCAACTGTCAGGACCTGGTCATTTTCACAGTAAATCGTACCAACTGAGGTGGGCTGCTCCTTTTGGCTCATCTGCCTATGCAGTTTCCAGAACATACCTACTGTTCTATCTCGACCATTCTCATTCCATAAACTGGTCAGATTTCACATTTTTTGGGGGGCGAAACACACAATTTGAACTCAGTAATCTTCGCTCTCTTTTCATTTTCTGCTGCTATTATTTCCTTTTGTGGAAAAAGTGGCAACCTTCATACTAGCAGCTGTCATTCTTTCATCACCACCCTTTTTTCCTATCCTTGCTTGCTCCACCTCTAGAGTCCACCATGGTGACTAAACAAATCTAATTCTGGAGATCCCTGACCATGCTCTTCCCCTAAGGTGCCCAATAAGCTTGTTATATCTGAAGGCTTTAAGTGCCTTCCTTTCGATGAGAATGGTAAATGACAGGTAGCCACTTCCATGATTACCAAGTACACTCCATACAGTCTCTGCTTCTGTAATCCACAAGACCAGTTCGAGGTCAATGGCAGTGTCAGCATCCCCTGGCCTCACTTCCGTTCTTGTGGGTTTGTTATTGTTGATGCTAACTCTGATTCCACCATAGCGGGTTCCATGGCTTTTGCTTGTCTATTTTCCCTGACTGGCTCCATTCATAGATGTGTGTGTGTTCAAAGTCCTTGATCACCTCGCAGTTGTTCTAATTTTCAACATGTGCATATACATTTACAATGTTTCACTTAAAGCACCCTAGCTCAGTCTTGCTCATAGTTCATTTCTGAGATCATCTTCACTGCGCATCGGGCATGACCATAACTACTTCAATCTCCTCCTGAGTATGTCTCCAAGATTTTTAGGCTAACCACTCCCATTTTGTTCTGGCTGATGTAATGAAGAGTGGCTCCTGAATTGTTCTCGTTTTGCAGCTCCAGTTGGAACAGCAATGGTGTGCAGTCTATTCAGTGAAAAGTCCTTTTCCACAAAACTAAAATCTTCACAGTGCTTAGTCTGTCATATGGCATTGACGATGTCATAACATGGTCCATAGTTGTTCTGCCAGCTAGAGCGTAAACTCTCTCTTTGCCTTTCACACCAGCATGCTATGGGACAAAAATGAAGGTGATTTTGTAAAACGCTGCGTGCTGTATCAGATGGAGCCACTGTTTCCGTATGTACCCCACCTTGAACTTCTGTAGCATGCTCACTGGGTTGCTGAGAAAACATGCACGGGTGAACTCCTGAGTATTCAGCCATTCTAGCGCCTTTGTTAAAGCCATGACCTCCACTGCCATGCTGCTGGTGGTAGAAAGGCTCCACTATCTTATTTAATAACTTTCCTTTCGTTTCTTGCCATGAAAGCCTATGCCCTTGGCTTCTGACAAATCACAGAATCATCTGCAGAAATAGCAGCATCTTCCAGTGATGTGTGTTCCTCCACCAATGCTTTTACTTCTGCATCAACTATTAATCACAGCTCTGTATTGTCAGGGTGATCACCACAAAGTACTGCTTGTATTCACTTGGTATGAGCATCTTCATGGTTTATGTTTTGAAGGGAAATCACCTGTTGAAGTACTGTCTCAGCCTGGCTTTGATGAGCTGGTCTTGACTACTATTATTAATTTCTTATAAAGTAAAAAGGGTGACTGAGAATTGGGAAGATCAACCCTGAGTTAGCTTCCCTAGCTTCCCCATCCAATGACTTCCTGTAGCACTTCACTTCCTTTTTCAAATCAGATACGGTTGAGAAAGGGGACAGGTGTCTTCTTTCCTCAGCTGACTCAGTACACCCCAGTTGGTAGTCAGTGCTGAAGTCTGTGTTTGAAATCACGGCTATCCTTCGAATAACGGGCACTAAAGATGGGGGCTGCAAAATATCCATTCAAGCTGCAGTCACGTGTCAATTGCGCACTTCCGGCTACTTAATTTGCGGTTTTCCGGAGCCCCCATGCCGCTCACGTGGCATGGATTGGGGCTAAACTAGATGGCTAGGACTCACAAGCAAAGCTGCAGGAGATGTGCGGGCCACGAGGCGGTAGCGGCTGTTGGTGGAAAACTGCTGGAAAACTGCAAATTAAGTAGCCGGAAGTGCGCAATTAACACGTGACTGCGGCTCGAACGGATATTTTTTGGCCGCCATCTTTAGTGCCCGTTATTCGAAGGATAGCCGAAATCACTATCAGGGGTGAGTGAATAGTTATTTTTCTAATTGTATCTATTGCTGCTAATTCCTCTGAACTCTTATCTGCTGGACTCTGCATGTTTTTTAATGCTGCCCACATGTGGGAGACCTTTGGTAAATTCATTTGCTTTCCTCACTAACCACTCTAATAAAGGTGTACATTCACTATGCATAAACTCTAATAAGTGTGTATATTCACTATGCATAAACTCTAATAAGGGTGTATATTCACTATGCATAAACTCTAATAAGGATGTAAATTCACTATGCACAAACTTTAATAAGGGTGTATATTCACTATGCATAAACCCTAATAAGGATGTATATTCACTATGCATAAACTCTAATAAGGATGTAAGCTCTATAAATCTAATAAGGGTGTATATTCACTATGCATAAACTCTAATAAAGGTCACTATGCATAAACTCTAATAAGGATGTATATTCACTATGCATAAACTTTAATAAGGGTGTATATTCACTATGCATAAACTCTAATAAGGATGTATATTCACTATGCATAAACTCTAATAAGGGTGTATATTCACTATGCATAAACTCTAATAAGGGAGTGTACATAGAATTCCCAGATGGTACTAGGGATAAGTCCAGCGTACCAACCGGGAAGTACTGCCATAACTATGAAGCAGAAACTCAAGCTATCAAGATAGCAACAGAGAAACTGCCAAATACCAATCTTGGCTCACAGTATGTGGTAATGCTGACAGATGCTAAATAAGTACTTGAAGCACTCCAGTCTAGGAGACTACCAGAATTGCAAACACTGCTGACACAACTCAGCCTTCAGCGAAGAGTCGTAATGCAGTGGATACCGTCTCATTGTGGAGTGCCTGGAAATGAGAAAGCTGATCAACTGGCAGGGGAAGGTGTGACAAAAGAGCAGCCGGATGTACCAGTCACATACCACCAAAAGAAAAGAATAATTAAATCGATCAAGAAACCACCAGCTCCAGCACAAGACGACTATTTTATAATGGACCGACCATAACAAGTCATTATCCTCCGCCTCAGAACAGGGCACAACCGATTACGTAACCACATGTACACAAAATTCAAGATAGGTGTATCAGCCATATGCACCTGTAGAAATGTGCCCCAGACAGCAGAGCATGTACTCCAAGACTGCACAGAATTTGACACATTAACCCTACCAGACCGCTGGCCCGGTTTTCCGGGAATTTCTCAACATGACGCCAGACCGCTGGCCCTAAATTTCGGCTTTTTGCGTAGTACGGCACAAAGGTGCATCACAGACTAAAAATAACCACCCAATCCTCTTTGTTAGACATTGCAAATGTCTGCCCGCATGTGTTTGGATTATATTTGTGTTGTTTTACGTGGAAAAATTCTGAAAATTCACAATGAGACGAGCAGCTGATGAACCAAGTTCTAGGCGTTTCACAGTCCAACAGGTGATCAATACTCTGGTTTATTCAGACTCTGCGGAGTGATAATTTCATAAAGAATACATTCTTGGAGTGATAATTTCATAAAGAATACGTTCTTGAAGTGACACTTGTCAGTGAGAGCGCGAATGATGAGGAAAATCTTGAAAATTGTAAATCTTGAAATAGATCGATAGTGGGTGAAGGGGGTGTGTCCCTCAAACGGCAACATCTGGTGTTCACTCTGTGAAACAAAGTTTATCCTGATGATTGGATTCATCATATTTTAGCCACTTGTTTGCATGTAACTAATATTTTTGTAAATCATGTTGGTTTTTTCGCGGTAATGCCCAGGAGCTCAGGTTATAGGAACAGTTAGGTTCAGGGCCTCAGGTCTGGTAGGGTTAAGGCAAACCTTTTGGCCAGAAAGAACAACAGTGGAACGTAAACTCTATGGACCACTGAATGAACTAACAACAACAGTGAAATTTATACAAGAGACAAAACTGCTGATATAGACAACTTATTTCAGGCGAACGAAAGAAGAAGAAGAAGAAAGTTTGACGGAACTAAAAGTGAACAGTCAAGTTTATCACAAGAACTGGTTCGTCGGTGTAAATCAGAAAGTGGTCACAAAAAGAAGAACCTGCATTAAAATTCTTTCTTACTCCCCGTGTGGGTTTCAGGACCTCAAGAATAGACCCACTGCCCCACCCCCACCCCCCTCCTTTCCCCCAACAAGCATGTCAGAGGATTAAACTCATTGGGGACATCCTGTGAAGTTGAAGTATATCTTTCTGACAGGCAAGGAACCAACAGTCTGTATACAAATATCCAGATTTGTAAAATTGATGTACACACAACCCTGAGGTTCTAAAACAAGACAAAAGTTTGGAAATGGACAAACAACCAGAATTTTCTACTGCAGTTTACAGCTGGTGATCACAAAAAAGAAGAAGAAATTAATTCTTTTTTTATTGTCTTTATTTCTTGTTTTTCTGTTGAGTACCAGCAAGATGGTAAGAAATTTTTAAATTGGTTATGACTTCTTGTGAATCTGTGAATATGGAGTATAGTGACTACTGACTATACTTGCTTTTTCACACTGCACACACAAAACATACCTAGCATCAACATCTGGTTTGTTCACTTGCACAACTTCTCCATCAATATTCAGTATACATTCTAGTTCTCTGTCTCTAACCCTTTCTCTTGAAGTACTTTCATCATCAGCCACATCTGGATTGAGTCTGATTCGAAATCCCTTAATTCTACACAGCCAATCTAGTTTTTCCGGCAAGGGGTCCTTTAAAAAAAAAAACAGTTCAATTGAAGCTGATCATGTTAATAAATATGATCATTCTATTTTATGCAGCGTTGCAAGTCCGACTCGTAATTCCAACATACCGTGATTTTTATCATGGTATTAGGCGTCGCAGGTCGACCCAGCCTTAAATGGGTACCAAGATGGCTGTCCTGGGGAAGTAAAGAAGGCCAGCGTAATGCTGACCACGTCAGACATTAGTCTAATGTTGATTGGTTTGTAAATATATGGGTGCTCTTCACAAATGCCCAATGCACCCAGAGGCATGAAAAATTATCTTTCACTTTAAAAAAAAAATCAAATACAGTAGTCTGTTCCCCAGCTGTGGGAGAATTTTCCTCCTAAAGGCAATATTAAGCTGAGGAAAAGATAGAACAATGAGATGGCAAAGAGTCAGTTGGGGGGAGGGGGGGGGGGGGGGAAGGATTTATTAATTTAATATTTTGTAGATTAAAAAATGTAAGACAATTTAAAAAAGTTTACCTTAACAATATTCTTCATGTAATGTGAACAGCCAGAACTTTTCACAGGAGTGTACAGCCAGTGAACGCTAAGGAGTCTCAACACTTAATCGTTTGACTTCTGCGGTTAACAATAGATTAGACACCGTAATTCCTGGTTACCACAATATAGATTAGACACCGTAATTCCTGGTTACCACAATATAGATTAGACACCGTAATTCCTGGTTACCACAATATAGATTAGACACCGTAATTCCTGGTTACCACAATATAGATTAGACACCGTAATTCCTGGTTACCACAATATGGATTAGACACCGTAATTCCTGGTTACCACAATATAGATTAGACACCGTAATTCCTAGTTACCACAATATAGATTAGACACTGTAATTCCTGGTTACCACAATATAGATTAGACACTGTAATTCCTGGTTACCACAATATAGATTAGACACTGTAATTCCTGGTTACCACAATATAGATTAGACACCGTAATTCCTGGTTACCACAATATAGATTAGACACAGTAATTCCTGGTTACCACAATATAGATTAGACACTGTAATTCCTGGTTACCACAATATAAATTAGACACTGTAATTCCTGGTTACCACAATATAGATTAGACACTGTAATTCGTGGTTACCACAATATAGATTAGACACCGTGAAATAAAGTGTTGATAGAGGGAGGAAATGTGAACCTTCTAAGTTTTGGGGGGAAAACTTAATTTTGAAACAAATTTCTGCAAGTAGTACAGATAATTACAGGAAAGTATACATGAATCGTAAATAGCTAGGCAATATACACAAGAGAAAGCATGATATCTCACCTAGCCATTAAGAAATATCAAATTAGGAAAATCATGTGCAGCAACAGAGAAATGATAAATATGACCACCACGATCCATTCGAGAATTTGACACTAAGAACATTTTGTCAATGTGTCAGCGACATGGGAACTCACAATGAAAATTCATCATAAATTTACTATAAGCACTACAGAGTTGTTTCTCTCAAAGTATTATAGAGAAATGAATGGGCTAAAGGCTCCAACCAGATTCATCATGAAAATCATGATTTTAACATAGCTGTGAGTGTAGAAAGTTCTGGCTGCAAGGGGTATGATCATGGTGGGCCAGGCACAAACATCGGTGGATCGCATAATGTGTGTTCGTGGTAGTTGATGGGTTAAGCTGATTCAAATGGTCAAAAATTTATATTTATTCAAACTGTGAGCTGCTGAGTTAAGTACTAAATGTTTAATTACATTCAGCCCACTCACTTTTTTCACTTGATTGTATATATTATACCTTAGTGCAGGGCTATTCAACTAAGTTTACTCGCAGGCCAAAATGTTGAAAAATGGGGATCGTCGCGGGCCAGTGGCCTGAGCCAAGTGTGGGAAGATTATTAACACACTGAAGTTGAGAAAATTGTCAATTTGTATATTTAATACACTCTAAGACTGTTACGCCTAGGCGCCCTCGGCCCTAGCCTACAGTAATATAAATAAAACAGTATAATGTAAAATGTACAACAATCTTTTGTAATGATTAAATAATACTCATTTTTAATTGAAATACACATATTTCCAACTTGTTTGAATTATAAATGAACATTAGCATTGTCACTTCAATAACATTGTCATAATAATAAAAAAAAAAATAACAATTACAGTTCACAGTTTGTTTCATTTGGCTTTGTGCAGAAAAGAAATGAAAGCTATAACATGGTGGCACTTTGTGTCAACGTGTGTTTATCGCTTGTGTGATGTCCTAGTGGGGTAAAATGTACTTCTTCTTTATATTTTGCAGAAGTAAGTCTTTGTAATCTGCTTCCGTTTCTTCAAGTAACTGACGAAATAACTGGTACTGAAGACTTGATCAGGACCGAAGGAAATTTATTATTTTCATCACCATATCCATTGTTTCCTTCATCTAGTCGCTCAGTTTGCTGCACAGAACACTTTGATGGATAAGACAATGTAGTGACTGCATCTGAGGTGCTACTGCATAAAGTCTGGCGGTCACACCTTGATGCTTACCTAACATTGACGATGCCCCGTCCATTACCGATAAACACATTTTAGTCAAATTTTCTGTGAAGAATAACTTAATCTTGTCAGAAATAACTTCTTCAGTTGTGAAATTTTCTATTGCTATTAAAGCTAGACGTTCTTCACAAAAAACATTTTCCATAGAAAAAACACACATATAAACATAACTGAGCCACGTCTATGATGTTTGTAGATCGTCAATGGCAACTGACACAAATTCTGCCTGCTTTATGCTTTCAATTAAAGATTCAAAACTTCAGTTCCTAAAATTTTGATTCTGCGTATCGTCGAAGTATCCGACATAGGGATTTGCTGAACTGCATGTGCCACGCTTGTTTTTATTTTATCATCAACTGCTATTTCATCCAGAATTGCTAGTATGCATTCTTTCATGGTTTCTGAGTCAGTGAAAAGCTGCTTCTTTTTGGCTAATATCCATTAAAACATGCACAGAAGCCGCTGTAACTTTTTCTTGTTGAGTACAAGCTCGCACAAGAATTCTGCTGCCATGCTGATAAGCAGCAATCAACGACTCAACCTTTGATATCCTAGCAGTGAAACCTTCTGGATATGATTTTTCAAAATCAGCATGTTTCATTGTAAAGTGCCACTTCACGTTATACTCCTTTACTGCTGACACACATTTGTTGCACAGCAAGCATATTGGTTTCGAATTAGGCATAGTTGGTGATATAAATAAATATTTCAGTGTCCAGTCATTGTTGAATGCATGATTTAAAAATTCCCACTTTGTTCGCTTACTAGTACCAGCCATGGCATCAAGTATTTAAGTCTATATTAATGAAAATGTAAATTTTTCGATGTTGTTATCCCTAAACTCGGAAACTACTGAACCGATTGCTTTCAAATTTGCACACAACGTTGCCTTTGACTCCAAGCATGATTTTTTGTCAGAAAATCGCACAAACCATGAACGACGTCGCTCCAGCAACGGTCAAATCATTATTTGTTTTGTTGCCGGCCCAGATTTCTTTTTAGATGAATGGCTATTTTTTGCTGCCAAGCTCTTATTGAACTTTGCATTATTATACAATCTTATTTCCAATTTTGTCGAGTGTTTGGTAGCGCAGTTGGTAACTATTCTGCTTATCATGCGGGTGACCTGCGTTTAATTCCCCGCTAGGTGATTTTTTTTTTAAAGCCCCTAACTGGGCGGTTGGCACGTTGTGTTGTGGTTTATGGCTAGGCTGCGATATCTACGCCTTTTTCGGTTTTTGGGTTTACAGCTAGCCCGCCACAGCGACGACGTGATGCTCAATGGTCATGTCACGGGTATTCTTCGTTCGCCCTCGAGAGAGCCGTTGGCACGTTGTGTTGTGGTTTACAGCTAGGCTGCGAAATCTGACCTAAACTCTTCAGTCTTCGAAAGTATAGTTTTAAGTATTCCATTCTTCACGCAGGTGACCGGTGTTCGATTCCCCGCTGGGTGATAATTGTTCTTTCTCCCCTAAAAAGGCGGTTGCCACGTTGTGTTGTGGGTTACATCTGCGCCTTCGCCCAAAGACATCCGATTTCAGTTAAGTCATAATTAGCCTCTCCGCGACTCTTCTCAATCAAAAACTATTCGGCGATGACAGAAACTGTTACTAAGACAGCTTACAGTCCAGTTTAGTTTGGGTGGACACGGATGCCAAGGTCAGTTAAAAATCGCTCCTTCGGAGAGGGAGAGCTGACGGGTGCGGGGTATTTTTCTCCGCTATTCGTGAGTATAGTGTACTTTTTACTGTGGGTTCCATCATTGGTTACGTGATGAAGTTTCTTTTTATTTCTATGTCGGGGACAACATTAAACTAAATAGTCCATGGCAACAGCATGCGGCAAAAACTCCCCTTTTCTACACCAACCTACACAGACTGTAGTGACAGTTTTTGTTGTTGTTGTTGTTTTTGTTGCTGTTGTTGTTGTGATGGTGGTGGTGGTAGTAGTTGCAGTAGTACTGGTACTGGATGGGTGATGTGGTAGCTGTTACACTGGCTACATTTACTTCTCTGTACAAGTTAATGCTACCTATTTAAGTCTGGGTGGACTCAGATGAAAAGCTCAATTTAGTTACAATATTTCGTCACACAGTGATTTTCCCATCCTTCGGAGAGGATAATATGATTGGGGGGGGGGGGGGTGTTATGTCAGAAAGTTAGCTGAGAGAGCTTAAAATATTATTTAAACGTTATTATTTCTTAGCTATTTCTATTTTAATAATTTCGTCAGGTGATGATTTTTAAATCCTTCGGAGAGAAAAATATGATGGGGGGGGGGGGGGGGGGGGTTATGCCAGACACAGCTGAGAGAGCTTAAAATATTATTTTAAAGTTCTCATTTCTTAACTATTTCTATTTTAATAATTTCGCCATGGATGATTTTTCAATCCTTTGGAGAGGGAGATATGACTTCGCCAGGTGATGATTTTTCAATTTTTCGGAGCGGGAGATATGATTGGTGGAAAGGGGGGGGGGTGGGGTTATGCCAGACACAGTTAGCTGAGACAGCTTAAAATATTATTTTAAAGTTCTCATTTCTTAACTCTTTCTTTTTTAACAATTTTGCCATGGATGATTTTTCAATCCTTCGGAGAGGGAGATATGACTGGGTCGAGGGAGAGGGGGGGGGGGGGGGATATGACAGACACTGTTAGCTGAGAGCTTTTTTCTTTCTTCTCCATTTCACCATTTTGGGCCACAGCAAAGCGTGGCCGGGTACAACTAGTAAATTAATAAAATTTTAGATAACTTAAAACACTGTTACTGTTTCAGTTTGTTACTACACAATCGAGTCCGGCAATCTACATCTGGCTGTGTGGATGTTCACAAAATATCTGATTTTAATCTGATAACAAGATCACTAGCATGTGTTCTGCAATGTCCAGTATCACTAGTGTTTTGCAGCATCTACTGTCATTAGTCTTTGTGTACTAGTGGTCATCATTAGGGAGATTTCCTCAGTAATCTAAGTGCTAACTATCTGGACCGGGCTGGTATTTTCATACACCTTCTGTCCAATAAATATCTTACCTTCATTGACTGTTCAGTGGAGTGATTGCTTCCTACCAGTTACTTGACTCTTTTCAGCCTGTCTAGTTACCTCTGGCTCCAAACAAGTGAGTTCTGCTATTTGAAGTAACATTTACCATAAAATAATTACATTTCCATGCCTGAGACATTTCCGTAGTTGTGGTATTGTCTGTTCATACGCCCGTTCCCTTGTATCTTGGCATTTAGAGATCCCTGACAAACATTTCCTATTGTCATGATAGACACAACTGATTTTTGAAGATTTATACTAAGACATTGATTGATTAAATTTTTAAAAAAATCTACTACATTTCAGTGGCAATGATCGGCGGAGCCACTCGCTAAGCCTCTGCGGACCACATCTGGCCTGCGGGCCGCCAATTGAATAGCCCTGCATTAGTGTCTTATTTTCTTTATTTATTTTGTGTAAACTGTGACAGATAAGAACTGACCTACATTTTGTGTTTCTCAGTTGCGGACCTTTCTGCAATTTTTAATTTCTTTCATTTCAATTTGTGTGAGTTGGTAAGAAAGGATGATAAGATCAGTATCACCTCAGGGGCATAACACCACAGAATCTAGTAATTTCACTAAGCTTGGTCAACCCCAGAATTGTGTAGTGAGATAAAAATCCTGTCTTCAGGTTAGGGTTGAGAAGGAAAATGAACAAAGGATGGCCCAACTGGCAGGCAAATGCATTAGCAACAATAATTCTACAATGATACCTTAAATATAGAATCTGGAGTTATAAAGTAAAATGTGTGTTTTAATTTTAAAAAACTTACCGCTGCATTTATGCCAAGAACAAATTTTGTAAATGTTTTTATCAGATTAATACGACCACAGCCAAAGTCAATTAAGAGATCGATACAACCTCCTTGGGGATTCAGAATATGATCATTCCCATCTATGGTACGTTCACATAAGATAGCAAAGAACCCACACACATTGTCACTGTTGCCTGTGTAAACTTTCCATTCTGAAAAAAAAAATTGCTACATTAAAAAATGGACCTTATTTAATATTCTACATAGACAGTTTGTCTTGTGAATACAGTAAAATCGTTCAATAGTGTTTGCCTTATATACCTTTGCAATTTTCTCAAATATAAGCTCAGTTGTGGTCTTAACTACCAAAATATCGCTCACCTGAAGTTTGTTTCAAACCATTGTATTTTGTTTGAAAATGCAGTATTTTAACTGTGGTTAACTTCAGGTATCCAAAAGGCTCCAAAGTCTTTCTTGTTTTTGTTTGTTGTATTTTTGCCTTTCCATGGTTTCTTCTTTTATTCGCCTGGAATAGAATATCTATATCAGCAATGTTGTCTCTAGTATAAGCGCCACTGTCTTGTGTTAACTCACTCAGCGACCCGTAAAGTTTGGCATTTATTGGTGTTCCTCTTGGCCAGAAGTTCTGCCTTGACATTTTGTATTAGGACAGTCTGGGAGGATGTGATCTGTTGCCTCAGGTGCCAATCCACATGTGCTCATAGCTGATTCACCAATCTTAAGTTTTGTCTACACATGGATGAGGACGGAGTATGTATGAAAATGCCCCGACTGCTCATCTTCAGCAGCCAGCGCAGAGTTCCAATACTGATGGTACTGGTCAAAATCTGGTTACATGTCCATCTTGCCTTTCCTCTGAGCGTATTGAGCAGGCCAGACCCTCTGGTTACACCCAGGTGCCTCATTCTCTCCAGGCCATAATAATCTTGTTTCTCTAATGATTCCGTTGCTTTTTCCCAAAGGGCCTTGACCATATCTGCCTTGTCCTTCAGATATGAAATTGACAGTATGAGAACAAGGGAGAGTGTGTGATCAGTGACCCAGTAAGTGTGATGTTCCCCTTTATAATATTTCCTGTGCATTAACCATGGAAAAATGACATCAGTCAATGCAAAAGAATTTAGCTCTAGACTGTCAATGAGTATAGACCAAAGAGCATGATAATTGTCAGGATTTTATTCAAAGAAGAGCCTCAATTGTCGCCAACCCACCTGAGAAAATACACTTATACAGTGAGTGTGTGGGTTTGAATGCTAACACTGCACACCCACGTGAGAAAATGGACTAATATCTGAGCTTGTATTAATTTATAACTAAATCCCCCATCAAATTATTTAAATATCAGTGAGCTGAGGTAAACTAGCATGCACAAAGACACTTGTACAAAATTTACTCAGCTATTTTATAACAACATGAACAAGACATGGAACAAAAGTTAAATATATTCAAAAACAAATGCCTGAAAAAAATGATGAATATAAAATAGGAGGAATTCAAGAGAGGTGAAGAAATCAGAGAAATGTCTGGACAAACACTGTTATTACCATTTATAAGCAAAAGAAGATGGTGCTATACTGGATAAATCCTGAGTAGAAATTAGCAGAAGATAACCAAACAAGCATTGAAATTAGAAATAATGGAAAGATGCCAAAATAAGCTTTCATAAGAGAGGTCAAAGGTGCTGGAGTGGATTCCATCCTTGATATCAAAGTGTCTGCACAGGACAGAACAAAATGGAGGAATAGCCTGTAAGCCCTATGTAAGATATAATGGCACAACAGGACAATGATGATGATGATGACGACTTGAAGTCAGACAGCTATGTCTATTCCTGTGGTGCCAGCAGTGTTTGAAGCAGCTAGCTCTCCTAGAAAGGTGAAAAGTGGAATCTGAAAAAAACAAATATCTTGTGTGTCATTAGTGGAAGCCGTTGTGGTGTAGCAGTTAGATGCTTGCCTGCTGGGTTTAGGTCCTGACAAAGCCTAACTTTTTTTAAAATGACCTTGGCTCCCCAGCTGATCAGAAGGTCATGGGTTTAAGTCCTGACAAAGCCTAACTTTAAAAAAAAAAGACCTTTGCTCCCATGTCGACCCAGCCCTAAACAGATACCAGGTAAAGTCTTGGGAAGTAAAGGCAGCCAGTGTGATGCTGACCACATCACAACCATATGCAGATTGGTCTATAAAATAAAGGTCTAGCCCTATATGCTCAATATGAGTGAAGGTGAAGAAAAGGGTCCCTTTATGTCATTATTTAATGAAAGAAAATTCAAAGACTTTGACCAAATGTCTTTGATTCTACAACCAAAAAGTCTATGTGAACAGATCTCTGAATTACCAAGCAAGTGTGTTCCTAACGGAATTACTTGAAAAGAAGCATTGAAAAGAAAAGGAAAATCTAAAACAGATAATTAAAGTAAAAGTAAAAAGTGAACACAGCAAAAGACTACAAAACGGGCACAGAACTGAGAATGGCAACTTGTAACCTTCTAAACACTCTTTAACATCATCACTACTATGTCCCATGCTCTAGCTAGACTATTTAATAAGCTCCTAATGTGTAGTTTACCTGATCTCTGAGCACTTGCATTACTTGAGCTGTAACACAGAAATTCATGAAATCAGTTACAGTAAATATGAAAGGAAAATCATTCAAAATGACCTAAAATTATTTATGTAATTGATATAATGATTTATTTCCACTGACAATACTTCAATAGTATTGTTTATTTTCTTGCTGACTGTGCCACTTGTATTTCACCAAAGTATTCACAAATTTAATACTAATCATTTCATACTGGAATTAATAGAAAAAAATAAGCAATAAGGCAATATATATATATATAAGCGCATGGGACTGGTTACTGGTTTGAAGCAGAAAGTTGAGTGAAACATGAGTGCATTTTATTCCCCCTATTATCTAGCATAATCATGGAATGAATGATGAAAAAAAATGATTTAATAAGCTATAAGGCAGCAGGAAATGATGATATTACTGCAGAAATGCTCAAGGCAGAAGACGATGTAAGTGAAAGATTTCTTTAAAGGGATATGGGCAGAGGAAAAATCCCAAGATATTGGAAAAAAGGATTCATTGTTAAAATTTAATTTAATTCCTCCTAGGGAAAGAAATACTTTCAGGCATGCCTTGAGGAGGACCTCTGTAAAGAACTTGCTGATTGACGATGATATACATACACACACATTTTTGACATGTTTTAACTGGTGCAGAAATGACGGAAAGTAAGCAAGAATTACAAATGCAGTGGAAAGTTAATTGAATACATTCTTTTCATAATTTCTTTTTTTTTTTTAGAAACATATTTCTAAATGATAAAGACTGCGACAAAACTGCAGCCGGATGTTCCAGTCGCATACCACCAAAAGAAAAGAATCATTAAATCAATCAGGAAACCACCAGCCCCAGCACAAGATGACTATTTTATTATAGACAGATCAGAACAAGTCAATATGCTCCGCCTCAGAACAGGGCACAACCGATTACGTAACCACATGTACACAAAATTCAAGATAGGCGTATCAGCAATGTGCACCTGTGGAAAGGTACCCCAGACAGCAGAACACGTACTCCAGGACTGCACCGAATTTGACACATTAAGGCAAACCTTTTGGCTAGAAAGAACAACAGTGGAACGTAAACTCTATGGACCACTGAATGAATTAACAACAACAGTGAAATATATACAAGAGACAAAATTGCTGATATAGACAACTTATTTCAGGCGAACAAAAGAAGAAGAAAAATGATAAAGACAAATTATGATGTCATAATTTAAAAAAAAAAAAAAAAAACTGCCTTTTTCTGACAATAAAATTCCTTCAGTTGCTTTTTTCTGATAAATGTAATTAGCCAACCTAAACACTGGATAACTGCAAACAGTATGAAGCCGATAAATAGGCAATCTTGGTAATCTTAGTTCCAGCTTTATAGCAGAACACTACGAACATAGAGGGTGGACATGGTTAATACTGTGGGTCGACAAGAAGAACACTGCGAATATACTGGGTAGACAAGGATACTATTGTAAATATACTGGGTGGACAAGGATACTATTGTAAATATACTGGGTAGACAAGAATACTATTGTAAATATACTGGGTAGACAAGGATACTATTGTAAATATACTGGGTAGACAAGGATACTATTGTAAATATACTGGGTAGACAAGAATAACACTGCAAATATACTGGGTGGACAAGGATAATTTTGGGAATATACTGGGTCAAAAAAAAACACGCTGCGAATATACTGGGGTGCAAAGCTAAGGACCTGGTCTGCCGTGCCATAACACAAAGTTTTCAGGTTGCATTTCTTCTTCCATAACATAAGGCTAGTATCCTCCCCAATGTGCTCCTCCACCTGAATGAGTTAGCACATGAGATCTCGTTTATGTTTGTGTTTATTTAATGTATCAACATCACGGCACATGGGTGAAAACCATAAGTGCTCCGTTCTACTTCTTACTCAAGCCTGAGTCTGAAGAATCTCAGCACAGTGCATGAACTCTGTTGCACAGGCGAGGATCCTGAAATACTTTAGGCAGATTTTAACTCAAATTTTTCCCGGGGCAGCACTGTTAGGCTACTCTTTAAATTTCCAACTGCCAAGATTACGTGTGCAAAACTACACATGAGCATCCGGTCTTACTGCCCAGAGACCAGGGAAAATAATTAGAAATCCACAAGAAAGTAGGGAAAGAGCTGACCAGCAAGTCTGTGACATGACCCCAGAGCGAGATGGAGTGAAAGCAGACCTAGAGCAAGAAGGAATGAAAGTGGACTTAGAGTGAGGAGGAGGGAACATTGTGGTTCATCTGCATCAAAGTCATGTAGAAGTACAACTGAGAGAAGGACTGTAAATGTGTCCTGCTTACTGGTAGTTGTGCCAGTCATGTGCATGTCAATGTCGTGAATGTACACTCAAAGTTTGAGCACATGGATCCTGCATGAATGATGTAAGTGTCAGTCTGTAATGCTGATATGAGACTTCTTCTTCTTCTGCGTTCGACATCAGTCATGCTAAACATTGAGTTCAGTCTGGGTCACAAATAGGATTGTGCGTTTAAGGTCGACACCGGTCCCCTATAGCTTCTCTTTCAATGTGGCTCCCTTGGTGCAGATCCACAGTCTTTGCTGGGAGAGGTTAGGGCAGTACTGTAGTATGTGCCCAGGGGTCTGTCATTCTGCTCCACAATCACAGGCAGCAGATTCTTTTATGCCTATCCTGTACAGGTGTGCTCGAAGACCAAGTGTCCAGTCCAAAGTCTAAAAATTGTTGTTTGTTCTTTCCTGTTGAGTTTGTTTATGCTGTCACTCTCTGGTCTGTAATCTCCATTCTGCCTTCGCCATTCCCGCTTGAAAGACTGCTTTAGCGCTGTTTTGGTTTCCTTGTAGCTGTGTGGTGGATGAAGTTGTGGAAGATTACTCCCAGCTTTTGCCAACTCATCTGCTCTCTCATTTCCTTGAATACCACAGTGGGCTGGTATCCACTGCAAGATCAGTTCTGCTTCCTTGGAAAGTAAGCCTATGTTGGTCCTTAGATCTGCAATTAGTTTGTCTTGTTTTTCGCTTGATAGTGCTTTGAGAACAGACAATGGGTCACTAAGTATAACAATTTTTCGCCCTCTGTGTTCTTGAGTGATGAGATGTTTGACTGCAGGAGGGCAGTTGCCTCAGCTCTGAAGTTAGTGCAGATGTCACCAGCTGGTAGAGAGAGAGTTTCTGCTCTACTGCTAGGGGGTTTAATGTATATTCCACAACCCTCCTTTCTGACTGCATCTGTAGCAGAGCCGTCGGTGAAAACCTGAGTCCAAGTGGTGTTTGGATACTTCTCATCAAGCATAGCAAGAGCCAGGGTTCTCTGTTGTGTCTCCGTCTTGGCATCTTTTGAAGTGATCCCTGGTACCGTTAGGACTACATTTGCCTTCTCTGGGTTGCTTGTCCATTGTTCTGGCCTAAGTTTTTCGCACTGTGCTACATCACTTTCAAGCAGATCTCGGTGCTGTCTGTACAGTTCTCTAGCAAGGTGGTTGGTGCTCTGACACTTCAGTCTGTTTTTTGTTCTCTCTTGAAATTTAAAATGCAGTGAATGACTTTCATGTCTTTTTGATTTCTCATATGCAAAAGAGTTTTGGATTGACTTCTGAGTTCGAGTGGTTCAGTATCTGCTATCCTCTTTATCTCTCTGATGGGGGTGGTTTTCATGGCTCCGAGAACAATCCTTAATCCCATATTCTGAACCTTGTCCAGTTTTCCCATTGTTGTCTTGGCTGCTGCAGCCCATGCAGTGGAGGCAAATTCCATGACTGGCCTGACTGCTCCAGTATATTCTTGTTTTAGGATTCTGGAGTTGGCGCCCCATGTGGTACCCGCTAATTTTTTCATCGCTGCAAGCTTCTTGAATGCTTTCCCCTGTACTGCTTCTACGTGTGACTTCCAAGTTAGTCGCGAATCAAGTGTAACGCCAAGAAAGGTAGGAGTGTCAGTCTGTGGAATGAGCTGGTTTTTTATCCAAATTTTGATTTTTTCTTTTTTGGGGGAGAGAGAGAAAAGTGATGCTGTACTTTTTGAATTATTTAGCTTTAGACCCCACTTTTCGGTCCAGGCTTCTACATTTTCCAGTTTTCTGTAACAGATATGAGGCTGTGGTAGTGAATTCGGAGGCTGTCCAAACTGCAAAATCATCAGCATGTAGGGTATTATAAACGTGCTGGTGGCAGGTTGCTGTGATATCATTTATGTAAACCAGGAACAGAGTTGGTGCTATCTCACGTCCTGGGGAACTCCTTCTCTTAGTTTTGCCAGTTTGCCGATGTGTCCATCAATTATGAATCTGGCTCTGCTTTGGAAAAGAAAGTCTTTGATCCACTTGTACATGTTGTGCACAACTCCTGCTTGTAGAAGTTTTAGTTGTAGGCCTTCTTTCCAAACTGTATCAAAAGCACAAGAGGTCAAAGAAGACAGCAAGAACTTTCTTTTTTTCCTGGAAGGCATTCTCTATTTCCTGTGCCAGATATGTCAACTGGTCCTCTGTGTTTCTGTGCTGTCTGTATCCTGTCTGTGTGGTGGTGTTTACAGAGTTTGTCTCCAAGAAGCACATTAGTCTTTTATTTACTAATTCCTCCATCAATTTTCCTACACAACTAAGAAGGCTGATGGGTCTGTAGCTTTTTGGGTCTCTTCTGTCTCCACCCTTTTTAAGGATAGGCTGGATGAGAGCTTCCTTCCAGGCTGACGGTACCACCCCTTTCTGCCAGCTCTGGTTGTAAATGCAGAGGAGAAACTTCTTGGCAGCAGGTCCAAGATGAGAGAGAAATTCGTTTGTAATGCTGCCAGCCACTGGGGCTTTCTTCATTTTCAACTCTCCAATTCCTTCTTCCAGCTCTTGCATGGTAAACTTTTCTGACATGCAGGCCTCGGTTGTTTTTGTGCTAGAGTCTGCTAGAAGAGTCTTGGTCTGGTTTCGTACTTCTTTTATTCTTTGCATGGGAATATGAACCTCAGTTTCTTTCTGGTGTGTTTCAGCTAGCACATCTGCTGCTACCTTGCCAGTAACAGCTCCACCATCTGTTAGGAGTACAACTCTGGCTTTTTCTGTCTTGTCTCCATTCAGGCTTTTTGTGAGATTCTACAGACGTGAAGTGTCCTTCTCGAGGTTAAATGACGCCGTCTTTTTGTGCCAGCTTTCCCTCATCTGATTATTTCTCTCTTTGATGAAGGCTGCTTTTGCTCTGTTATGAAGTATTACATTTTTATCTGTCGGATCCTTCTCCATATTTTCCCTCCTGGTACTAAGTTTGGAATGCAGAGTGTCCAGTTCAGGCGACCAGTAAGGTTTAAAGTTTTTCCTGCTGCCTCATGTTTGTTACCCTTGGCTGCATTTAGAATAGTTGTGTTGAGGATCTTCAATTTGGCATTTACTTCCAGTCTTCTGAAGAAGACTCTCTTCAACATGTCGTCCAACTGGGAAGTGAAAAGGCTCCAGTTAGCCTTCTTGTAGTTCCATCTGGGAGGGTTCTTTGCCTTAGTAACCTCTCTACTTTTGTAACTGATTCTCGTAGCTTATGTGTTATCAATAATAAATATGAAACGGCATTTAATTCTCGGTGACTGTCATTTGGAGACGTGCAGTAGTTGATTTAGAGAGAGAGAGATAGATCTACCTCGTCTCATAACCCCACTAAATTTTCTCCCTAAGAATAATTTTATGGCCTCTCAAGTCTCTGAGGCCCGAGCAATGCTGTGAGTGTTGTTTGAGAAGTTCAGACTTGCCCAAACAACACAGTCAGTGTCGATATTGTGTCCCGTACATATTGATTCACAAACTGCTACTTGTTTGTTTCTAATGTTTGGAAATACCATTAAAGTATTCAAGGCAGGTTATTCTCACGTTTTTCTTTGTATAGGAGAATTTATTCATCGATATGTGGTCACAAACTGATCTCATTCATTGCTAGTGTCAATTCCAGACAGTGCATTTTGTAATTGTGTGTGGTCGACGCCGTATGCGGGCTTGCTCAGGCGCTTGGCACTGCAATGTTAAGGTTGGCTTGCTTCTCCTCAGAGAGGTGAAAATTTAAATTTAAATAGCCTGACAATGACCCGTAGAGCACCCAGGTCAACCCTACCTCCTCATGGTGCATGCCAGAAAACTGAAGCCATGGAAGGAGACGGGCACCTACCAGATCATATTTTTGGGGGGAAAAGGTCATTCGAGACACAGCAGCTTCAGGATTATCACCCTACAAAATACTTTTGGCAAGGTCCTTGAGAAGATTATTGCTATTAAACTACAAATGTTTTTGGAAAAAGAAGAGCTGCTGAAAGGTTTAGGTAGTTACCGGCCATGAAAAGATACCTGGTCAAATGCAGCTACCTTTGTTTTTGATGTTTATGAGGGCTTCCAGAACAAACAGGAGACAGTTGTAGCAGCACTAGATCTTGAGGATGCCTACAACAGAGTCAGGTATGATATTTTGCTATCTGCATTCATGGAAAGGGAGTTTGTTCCTGGCTTGTGGACTGGATGGATATCAGCTGTCCTCCATACAATCACGGTTGCCCTTCCGCTGGGTACATGACCTCAGAACCATGTAATTTTGCCCAGGGAATACACCAAGGTTCTGCAATGTCACCAGTTCTCTTCAATGTGTATACAAGCAAAACTGCTAAACTTGAAGTACCAGGTGATGGAAGGATACTGACATTTGCTGACGATGTTCTTGCATACAGGCAGGGAAGTAATAGGCAACGGATAGCCCAAGAGCTACAGGCAACTGTAGACAGTGACTGACTGGTGTGCAGAAATGGGGACATTTAGAAAAGGCTGCTATTTTATGGTGCTCTCTGGGCAATAGAAATGTAAGAGCTTATGTTCCAAGCCTCACAATTAACAACATCAAAAGATGAAGCAAACTGAGGTATATAGGTAGCACTTCCAATAGACGCCTGTACTATAGGGATCACGTGGAGGCAGTTGTGGTGAAATGCCAAACAGGACTCAATGCTCTCAAGATTATGGCAGCAACAGATATGGAACAATGAATGCTGTTCACAATGTTCCAGCGTGTGATCCTGTCAATGATAATGGACTTGGAATGCTTGCCATATCAAACAGTCAGCTGATGAAACTTGAAATGCATACAGAATGAAGCCATGAGGGTGATTATGGAATTTTCAAGAGATACCCCTATAGTATGTGTGCTATATATACTTGCACTGCCCACTATTGCAGATAGGCTCAAAGTTGTGCAGGCAAACTCAAATCTCAGAGTAGCTGCAGACAAGAAGCACTTCTTGCATGATGCCCTGGGTAAATCTAAGGGTCACAGCAAATTTCAGAATTGTGTAGAGTTCTTATCACTTTGGTATACATCAGAGACTGGCCAGCTGGCGCTGCTGAATCAGAAATTCAACAAATGATTCATGACAATTCCAGCCCAAGTGATGTGATTATCTATACAGATGGCTCTGTAAGAACTTTGAGTCTATGAGTGTTAAACTAACCAAAAACTTATCTTAACTTTGGAGTTTGTTAGGAAATGAGCACACTTTAAAGTGTTATCTTCAAATTCGGATATTCACTGCTCTTGTGGCTGCAAAACCATTGTAAGTGAAGAACTGTCTCACAAAATTTAGTTTTTGTAAACTTAAAGCAGAATTTGTCTGTCCTACTAACTGTAACAGTATTAAACATTTACAGATTCATTCATATTGTACATTCATTCCTCTTTTTAAAAAATACATAGTTTTGCAGGGATCAGAAATATATTACACTCTCTGTTGTATTTATTGTGCACCACCCTCTCTGCCATTTTTGTAAAGGGAAATTAATGTCGGCCAAGTCTGTCAAAATTTGTGGGCCTCATAGATTTCAGAGAGAGTGTATCCTTTTCAGACTAACGACGGAGCACAGAAGACTTTGCCAACTTATGTTCAAGTTTTTCAGTTTCAAAAACAAGGAGGTGTCCCCGCAACTTGGCCCCTGAAAATGCTGAGTATTCATTTCAACACTGTAGATGTATGCTGCTAAAAGAGAAGCCATCTGGTCTGTTTTAAACTCAATCGAAACAAAGCAGATTGTACACAGGGAGATTTGGACTGCAAAATAGCTTTCATCAAAGCTACTGGCTACCTGATATATGGTTTTCTGACAGAAGGATTAAAAAAGAAGATGAAAGCCAAACAATTAAAAAATATTGCAGGTTTAGTGAAAACATAATGTAGCAACAATTTCTTTTTGAGAAAAAATAAAGAAGATGTTAAAAAGATGTAAACATGCCAACACAAATACATTTTACCTTTGACCAAAGTCTTGATTTTCATCATTATCTGCCACACAATACTCAATAATACACTTGAACATTCTAGGTTTCTTGAATAACATCGCAGTCAATGCATCTGAAAAAAGGAAAACATTTTAAAAAAAAAAAAAAGGCTAACTGTGTCAGTAAATATGTCAGAAATTTTTTTTTCCTAAGAAATAATATTTTTCACCATAACAGAATCACAACAGAATGTTTCCAGAGAAAATAAAATTCTTTTTGTTTCCATTTTCAGTTACAATGACCACATGTAAGCTATGCTGCTTCAATCTCAAGCTATCAAAAGGCTGCCATTTCAACCTCACGCTCACACTGGGGTCGTGACGTTATGCGTGGGGCTTTCTGTTTTCAATAAAATCCTACCCACTCTTTTTACCTATCACTGCATACCCATCTGCGTATATAACGAAGTGTCTGGATGTGAATTTTCATTGATCAGCTCTCGCACTGATGCCTCTATTTCACCAGCTATCCCCCCTGCACAAACCGTCCAAGATAACTTTCATTTTGTGCAAGTCTGCAACAGGGTTAAATTAAATCTTGTTTTTTAGGAATCCCAGTCATTTTTTTTTCCATATATCTGTCCAGCCAACTTTTTCACTATCCAAAAGCACATCTTCAGTTTCTTTAAAAATTAAACAGTTTCTTTTTGCTACTTTGGACTATTTGAGAAAGGTTAAAATAAGAGAAAGATTTATTAATAAAGCTCCACTTTGACAAAAAAATGCCATATTTTTGTGGCATGAAAACTGATTATCAACAACATTTGAGAGAATGTAACAGGGAGATGTTATCAGATGAGTGTTAGTTGAAGGGACAGAGAATCAACAGGTTTTGGCAGTTTTGACAATGCCTTTCTAAAACCAGCACTTATTTATTAGCAGAGAGATATTTTGCAAATGAATAGTCTGGTTATATAGCAGGATACTGTCAATCCATTTAGTGTATTTCGACGTAGAGTTATCTGATTTAATCAAGAAGCAGTTTGGAAATCCTATGGTGAAAACCTAGATAGTAAATACATTTCAGCATACTGGAACCTTCCAGAGGCAGTTTCGTGAGCAGAAAACACATACCATGCATTCCAACATCTCAGTATAAATAGTGGGTAAAATCCACTTGAGCAATTTTCATTTGTCAAGACTTGGAAGTGGAGGGACTTGTCAAATAGACCCTTAAAGACACTCCTCAGTCTAAAAGACTTAGAAGAAGAGGGCCTAGTCACATTGACCCTCGCAGACAAGAGCCTTTAGTGCGGAGATGCCAGCTCAACATTAGAGAAGTGGAAACAGTCACATGGAGCCTCAAAGACAGACACTAGAGAGGAGGCATGAAACAAAACATCCAATTACAGAGAAGACAAACAAGATACCTGGATCCATGGTCAACAGAGACAACTGGATAGAAATATTACTAAGATCTTAGAGTCGATGATCAAACCGTTAGTACCAGCGCTAGCACTAGAAGCCAGGTGGCAGATACAGATATCAAGAGTATGTAACCATAGAGGAAACACAGCAGCCATTTAGAACATCACTGATGTTATTTGTGACATTACTGAGGTATCACAATCACAATACATACAGTACAGAAAAGAGTTGTTTCAAGGCATTTTATTATACAAGCATCAGCGACTAGAGAAGTATGTAGTAAGCATGAGAGACCATCATCATCACCACTGTCATCACAACCATCTTTCTCCTCATTTATATTCTTCAAATGACTCCTCCTGTAGCAAACTAAAAGAAAAATGTGGGTGTGACATCTAAATACAAAAAGAAGATAGCTGTGCTACAAGAAGATTTTGGGCTCCGCATTATGGTCAGTTGCTAGCATCTTGCAGACATAGAAAAATCAAGGACTTAAAACATTTATAGCTACTAAAGAGTTCTTCTGCCAGATGGAGAAAACTCTGACACAATAGTTCCAGTAGCTCACTGTGCTCAAGATACATAGGTCATGGAAAGTCCAAGACGGTTGTATCCAATACGCCTACTAAGATAGCAACTTGGCAATTATACCTTTATTAGCATGTATACAAATACATGTTATTTTATACTCAGCCACAATGTCTGATCTTCAACATTTTAATCTTGAAAATTTTCCGCCTGAATATTTACCTTGACTTAAGATATCAGTTCTGAAAAAGAGAAAACTACTATCTTTAGATTTTTAATTAAAACATAGACCAACTTACATGGGTATCTCAATCTTCCCATCCATCGCAGTTCGTCTGTCCGCTTTATTACATCTGAAAACTCACCATACCCAAAACTCATACCACACAGTGTAACGAACTCACTACAGCTATGAACTGTTAGCACTGGAGCTTTGTGATTTTCTCCTGTTAACAGAACAATGATCAGTGATGTGACTTTTATGTGTATGTATGTGTATGTATGTGTGTGTATGTATGCATGTGTGCGTGCATGTATGTGTGTGTGCGCATGCACACATGATGGCATAAATTAGGTTGTAAGATTCATGATTTATGCCACTGTCTGCACACAGAAAATGTAAAAAGGTATATATTGGGGAAACCAGTAGGAAGCTAGCAAATAATTTATGCGAACATTTAACGGGTATTTGTAATAAAGCTCTTAAACCTGTCACCCTCCATTTTAACAGTTCTGACCACCAAGATGAAAGTGATATCTCAGTTACTGCTATTAAATTATGCTCTGGTGATAAAACCAGCCGCTACTATTAAGAAAATCGTTTCATTCGCAGTTTTGGCATTCTCAGTCCTTGGGATCAATATTCAATACATCTTGAATTTTTTTTAAACTCATCTATTTGTTTAACTTGTTCATATTTCTCCTCCCTCCACCCCCTTTTTTTTCTCATACCTATTCTTATTTTGTTTCATTAATTTAGCCCTTCAAATATATATTCTTTCCCCTATACTCTTGATTTTATGCTAACTTCTGGATTTTTTTAGAAGCTTCGTCATATTTTCCGTTGAGTTTTCAGTCACAGTTGTGTTATTTAGTACTCCACTGATAACGATTTTTTTTTAAAAAAATGTTCAGCTGTTTTTGTGGGCTTCTTTTCAATTTGTTGCGTCAACTTTCTAGTTCCATTTTATGTTGTATTTAACCCTTCTTACAATCACCTCCTTTTCCCAAGCCAATAATAAGATCATTATATAGAAAATAATATAAATTATTAGAGACCGATATTTGTACTATATTGACTATATTGAAGTATTTGACAGAGTAAATCATAAAGAAAGTGAATCATAAAGAAATAATGAGAATGTTGGAAAATGTGATAACCAACCAAAAATGATGAAAATAATAACAAGTAAACACTGGTATCTTGAAAAATTTTTAAAAACAAACATATGTGGAATTTCTACTTGTGTCAGTGTTCGATGTAAATCATGTCAAGGTCCTTGTCGGGTCAATTATCACTTAGGCTTTTTATTTCTGGCATTTGCTATTCACTCAATCTGTCAACAGAAAAGAAATACTGAATTCCTAAAAGATCTTAACATCTTTTTTGGCCATATCAGGCATACAGCGGATTGGAAAAATAATGGCAGAAGGCATGGTACCAAGAAAGAGGGACAGGGGCCAACAAGCACGAAGATGGGCACAGGATTTAAATTACACCTAGGGTAGGAAAGTGTAAGAGGTGGGAAAGCTGGCAAGAGACCAAGTTTCTTTCAGGCTGCCTATGATGAGAGCGACCTCATGACAATGACAATAGCATTTGTTGAAAGCAGGATTCTTCTTATGTGTTTTACGTATCCTGTCTTGCAGTCATCCAGTCACATCAGACTGATGTACATCGTAATGGAAAGTTGTGGTTGTAAACAATGAAGTGGGGGTGAAGAAATTTACAGAATGAGATGAACAAGATAGTGAGAACACGGATTGCACTGTACATGACAGAGGATAGGGCCACCGAGAGCAAGTTGGTTGACAGCTACATTCCACCGAAGAGGAGATGAAGAAAAAAGAGGAAGACAAATTATAAGAAGAAGAAGACGAAGTAGGTGGAGGAGGAGGAGAGGAGTAATTATTACATATCAGAAGAACTGTAAGAATATTATTAGATATTAAAGACCCCTCAGAATATCCAAGCATACATCATGCACTGCCTGGTGCCTAACAGTTGAGAAAGTCAGTCCCTGTTATTTATAGCAGAGGGTTACTTTCTATTTGATCAGTAAAGTAAAGGACCCTTTTATAATTACTGAAGAGGTTGTTCAGGGGTGCAAAATTACTCAAATCTGTTATGCATTTCATGGTTGTTGGAATATATTTATTTGGCCTCCTTTTGGATACTTCTGTTTGTCTGGTAGTCTGGTAGTCTTATTTTCACCTTCATAGCAAACGGGTCACCCTATCTTGTGCTGCTCCTGTGCCAACGAAAAAAAAAACAGAATGTTTATCACAGTCCCTTGTGGAAAGATTGACAGACAGCGGTCTCAGCATGTCTAGCATACACTCGCATTAAAGCTTACGGTAGCCATCCAAAGTGCTAACACAAACAGTCTGACATTAGAATGCAGTTCATCATTGATGATAGCAGAAGTCACCAACAGATCAGCAGTTGCCCACAAGATCAATTTTGATCACACACGGGCACCACCAACATTGCACGACAGGCATCGCACCATTTTCTGAATCTACAATTCACAGCACCACGTTGGTCACAGTTAAAAAAACATTCCAAATGAAATCCGCAGCTCACAGTGTCATGCCATGCATTCAGCTCAGAAGCTGGGCAACGAAACTATATCCAGTCTGCAAATGGAGCAAAAAATGCATCGACACCTTCTGGCAAAAGCAAAAAAAAATTGCCTCGGCTTCGAACAGTGCCGCTGCCTAGCTTCCATTTTGGACTTCTGTTTGTGCTGGATTGGTTTGGTCACTGATAGCTCTAATGGAGAAATTCAGACTTAATTCCTTTCCTCTAAAGTTGCAGAACATAATTCCCAGTGCCACTTCTACAGCCTCCTTGATGTAATTTTGGGTGTACCTGCTGTGAGGCATAGTGCTTGGTGCTGAATTGTATCCAATTTACATTTATCACTGTTTACAGCAGAATCAAACAGAATGCTAT